ATAAGTTCGTAGTCCCAAGGAATTATGATGATGTTGGCAATGCTGAATAGTTTGTGAATATGTTGGTACTCCTGTATTGACAGAATACAGTAATAAATCGAGTGATTTGTATTAATTTATAGGTATCACTTTAAAAAATATACGACCTACAGGTGACAATAGAAGCATAGATGATATATCTGAATAAATTCTGGAATATTAGTTTTGACTCAGGATAAGATAGATAGAGAAAGAGAGAGAGAGAGAGGGAGAGAGAAAAGGAGCAAGAGATATAGAGGCAGACAGAGAGAAAGAGTGCGAGAGAAACAGACAGCGGCAGAGGGAGAGAGAGGGAGGAGAGAAAGAGAAAGGGACAGACATACAGACAGGCAGAAACAGAGCGAGAAGAGAAGAGAAAGAAAGCAGATAGGGGACAGAGAGAAGAAACAGACAGACAGAGAGAGAGAGAGAGAGAAAAGAACAGAGAGAGAGAGAGACAGAGAGAGAGAGAGAGAGAGAGAGAGAGAGAGAGAGAGAGGCAGAGACAGACAGAGAGAGAGAGACAGACAGACAGACAGACAGACAGACAGATAGAGAGAGAGAGACAGATAGAGAAAGAGAGAAGCAGACAGACAGAAAGAGAGAGAGAGAGAGAGAGAGAGATGGAGAAAGCGAGACAGATAAAGAAAGAGAAAGAGAAAATAAACCAATAAAAAAATAAATCAAAACAAAAAAACAACGAAAACAAACACCCACCGACCAACCACACACACCCGAACATCAAAATGCGCGCGAACGAGAATCACACCAACAGCATTCTACATTGCATCGACCTGCATAAGCAATCACGACGCAGCCATTAGACAAATTACAAAGAGAGAGATTTTGCAACGACCCAAAACCATGCGTTTGACTGATGGCCTTTGATAATTAAATTGAAAATCCGGGTTTTCTTGTGCATATTAAATGAAGGCGTTTGTAGGACAGTGTGAGAATGGAAGAGGAAAATGAAAGAGAGAGAGAGGGGGAGGGGAAATAATGAGGTGGATAAGAGAGAGAGGGGGGAAAGAGAGAGAGAGAGGGAATGAAAAGGGTGAGAGAGAGAGAGAAGAGAGAATAAGGGGATAGAGAGGAAGAGAGGGAGGGAGGGAGAAAAGGTGAGAAAAGAGAGTGAGAGAGAAGAGAAGAAAGAGAGAAAGGAAGGAGGGAAGGAGAAGAGAGGGAGGGAGGGAGATAGGAAAAGAGAAGGAGTAAGGAGAAAAGGAGGAGGAAAGAGAGAGAAGGAGGGGAGGTGGGGAGAAAAGAGGGACAGGTGGAGAAAAAAGGGGAAAAAAAAAAAGAAAAGTAGAAGGCCAAGAAAGTGATAAAGGAAAAATAAGACAAGGATAAAGAAAGAGAAGACAAAGAAAAGGAGAAAATGGAAACAAAGAAGGGGAAGAAGAGAAGAAAAGGATAAAAAGAAAGAAAGGAAAGCAGAAGATAAAGGGAAAAAAAGAAAATGATAAGTAGAAAAAAAGAAAGAAATAAAGAAGTAAAAAGAAGAAAAGAAGAAAAGAAAGAAAGAAAAAGGAAAAAAGAAAGGAAAAAAGAAGAAAAAAGAAAAAAAACAAGGAAAAAGAAAATAAAAAGAGAAGAAGAAGAAGAAACGAAATGAGAAGAAGAAGAAAAAGGATAAGAAGAAGGAGGAGGAAGAGAAGGAGAATGAAGAAGATAATCATTTCTTCTTCCCAGGTAGAGAGAAAGAATTACGATGACGTCAAGAGATTAGATCCAGAAGATTCATTCTCGCGTCTCTCCCTTCTCCTCTCTTTCGTTCCCTTCCCTGCTTGTCCTGTTTTCTTTTCGGTTCTCTTTCTCTCCTCTTTCGGTCCCTTTTCGTTTTTTTTTTTCTTCTAATTTCTACTTATTCTATTCTCTTTCCCTTTTTCCTACTCCTTTCGTTTCTTCTTTCCCTGTTTTATTTTTTTCGTTCTCTTTCTCCTCTCCTTCGGTTCCCATTTTCTTTTTGTTTTGTTTTTTGTTTTTGTTTCTTCTTTCTCCTTTCTTTCGTTCCCTTTTTCTGGTGTTCTTTATTCTCTCCTCTTTCCTTCCTCTCTCTTTCGTCTTCTTTTTCGTTTTCTTTTTCCTTCTCTCTTCCTTCTTTTTTTTTTCTTCTTTTCTCTCTCTTTCGTTCTCTTTTTTCTGGTCGTTCTATTTCTTCCCTTTTTTCTTCTTCTCTCTCTTTCCTTCTTTTCGTATTTTTTTTCATCTTCTCTCGTTCCTCTCTCTATGTTTTCTCTTCTTTTTTTTTCCTTTCTCTGTTTTTCGTTCCTTCGATATATTTCTTTCTTCTTTTTTTCTTTTCACTCTTTCTTCCTTTTTCTTTTTTCTTTTCCTCTTCGTTCCTCTCTCTTATTTTTCATTTTTTCTCTCTTTCGTTCCCTCTCTCTGGTCGTCTATTTTCTCTTCCTTCTTTCCTTCTCTCTTTCGTCCTTTTATTTCGTTTCCTCTTTCTTTCTCTCTTTCGTGATTGTTCGATTTTCTTCTTCTTCTTCTTCTTCTTCTTCTTCTCTTTTCGTTCTTCTTTTATCCTTCTTCATGCTTCTGCTGTTTTTGTTTTTTTCCTCTTTCGTAATCTTGTTTGTATTTTTCCTTTTTCTCTCTTTCGATCTTATTTCCTTTTCCTCCGATATATTATATATATATATATATATAATATATATTATAATATATATATATATATATATATATATATATATATATATATTATATATTTTTTTATCTTCTTTCTTTCTTTCTTTTTTTTCTTTTTTTTCTTTCTCTTTCTTTCTTTTCTTCTTTCTTTTCTTTTTTTTCCCTTTTTTTTTCTTCTTCTTTTCCTTACCTCTCTGTTTTCGTTCTTCTCTCCCTTTTTTCTTTTTTTTTTTTTTTTTTATTTTTTTTTTCTTCTTTTTTTTTTTTTTTTTTTTTTTTTTCTTTCTTCTTCTTTTCCATTCTTTCTTTCTTCTCTTTCTCCCTTCTTCTTCTTTCTTTCTCTTCTACTATT